TTTAGATTTGTTCGAATTGGTCACCTTTGGCACGAATAATGGCCTTCAAACTGCCAAACACCGTCGCACGCTGCCCGAATGTTGATATGCGGTATTTTGGCCCATTCCCGTCAGAGCGCTTGCTTAAGGTTACCGACACTTTGGTATTTTTTAGTGCCAACATTGCTTTCCTCATTTTGCAACCATTCTTGGGTGGCGCAGCTGCTGATTGCGATGGTGCTGAGTCCTGTTGGAAAGTCCAAGGTCTGCGTCCAAAATGTTTGCGCGCCCAAGACTTTATTACACCCTCCAGAATATTTTCACTATAATATTCGGCATTTATTCTGATGCCACGGTCGATTAATTCGAGCGGAGAGCGACCATCGGCTGTTATGGCGGCCCACACCATAACCATGGCCGGCGCATGAGTTCTGGTGGCCAACTGAAGGTGCACTTTTTCAGCTGACCTCTTTGGCAAGTAAACACGATCAATTTGTTTGTTTGCAAACTGCTGGACAACGAATGTTTTCTCATCGGAGAAACCACATTCGGAATTTCACAACTTTCGGCCAACTCTTTAGCTCTTTTGAGTCTAATTTCTTTCTGTTGCGATGTAAGTTCTTGCACTTTTTGGAATTTGAATGGCTTTACCCAGAGCTCATTTTTCAATATTTGCCGAATGGAATATTGAGATACGTTCAGCTCACGAGCCATTTTTCGGGCACAGCTAACGGGGTTTCGATCAAGTCGCTTCTTTACTTTTCGAACCATTTCTGCTGATGTTGCTGTTTTCTTCCATCCACTTCCTAGACGTCGGGCTACGCTACCAGTATTACGGTGACGAACGATGGTACGGGACACAAAAGATTTATTCACATTTCAATGTTGAAGTGCTCTAACGGTAGCCACTTGTGGTTTTCAGCCAAATATAAAGAAATCACACTATCACGCTTGAATTGCATCACGAACAACTTTTTTGTCTGGAAAATTCTCACCAAAATGCTTTTGTACGCTTGTAAACAATATAATGAGCTGTCACTGAAATAATCTTAACAGCTGTCGGACGAGTGGCTTAGAAATGACTGCCTCTGAAGCTGGTTACAGTTTTTTCATCTCACCCTGTATCGAAGTGATATCACGCAATCTATAGCAATGTTATTTGGTATAAAAGATTAAAATGTCTTCATCAAATTTAGTGAAAATCGATTCATAATTGGATATGCCACTCATGTACTCGTTCCCCCTACAACCAAATTATGATTGCTCTAATGCCTAATGTTGATAGGTGGTATGATATTCTTGAAATTACGGGAGATCTACTAAATATACATAGTGATTTTAAATTTATGGTTTATGTTGACTTTTACGGCATGAAACAATTGGGCCTCAGCTTTGCTAATTGTGTTACAAGTTGCAACGCTTCTGAAATATTTCAGGAAATATCTCAACACATACTTCATTAAACATTCTTTGTATCAATTACCACAAATTCTTGCATACAGTATTTGTGTTTAAATTTTCTTGATAAATCTATCTCAACAATATCAATGTGTCTCAACACAAGTATCTAAACATTCCACATTAGCAAAATAATTTAACAAATCGTAATTCTAGTATTTACAGTATGCAACATCCTAATCTCAATATTCCAATATTCTACTTTTGGTTGCATAAACTGTTTGGGTAAATTTGCAGGTATTTCAAAAAATAATTTAGCAATATTTATGTATCTCAACATATATACTTTGATGTTATATATTACTTCAAGTTATGCATAAATAATTTGCAACCTATGGAATTCAACATGAGTACAATGTTCAACATTTTGTTGCATGAGTGATATTATATGTTGCAGAACAGTTGAAGCTATTAAAATAAATGACTATTCCATCAACATGCATTACACTATACAACATCTATGTTACAACACGTGATTCAATATTCATGTTTTGGTTGCATGTTGCGAATGAGCCGATTTGTAAACCTTTCAAAAAATCTCAACAATATTCCTTTATACCAACATGGACATCTAGAGATTAGACCTAACGGAAATGTATCTACCACTTCAAATTATACTCTTCAGGGTATACAACGTCTGAAATTCCAAATGAGTACATTATTTCACTATTTGCCGTACGAACGTCATTAAATGTTTCTGAACAGTTGCAACTTATTTAATAAGTATCTCAACAATATTTATGAATATATACAAAAGTATCTATGCTTCCTATTTTATTAAAATGTATTACTAATCTTGACTCTTTTGCGTGGGACGTGCAACATGTATGATACAACATGATTACAACTATTTCAAAAATGCTGTGGCACAAATTGCTATTAAGGTTTCAACATGAGTGCAACATGTCAAAAAATATCTCAACACAATTATCTATCAACATTACGAAAATGTATCCAAATTGTACCGAATGTAGATAAATATAATTTTAGCACGAATCGTTTAAAATATTTTATAATTATTGCAACAATTCGAGAAACTATCTCAACAAAAGTAACGTATCTCAAAAATTGTATCTAAACATTCTACACTATGAATATGTTGCAGATATAATTGTTCTGAAATATGTATCTAAACATTATGAGGTATAAATATACAATGAATACTTCATTTTAAACATGTATCTCAACTCAACAAAATATACCCAAGCTGACCCACAAAAAAAATCATGTAAGTAATGATAATTTCGCTCATCACGAACATTAAATGCCCTCCATAAAAAAAAAGTTATAAAAACCTTAAAAAATGTCTGGATTCAATGTTTGAAAGAGTTCAATTTTAAACTAGATATTTCAGTGCAATTCGTTGGAGAAAACAGTTAATGTCTTAAAAATTCTTTAAAGTAGACCGTACCGTCCTATGCGTATTACACCAAAACGAGGTCCTATATACTACATATCCATTGCGAGTTTCAATAACAAATTTGAAACAATTTCCCGGGGAAACATAGCTTAAACCATCAACATACCGAATATGGGAAGGTAATGTTATACAGGGTGAGATGAAAAAACTGTAACCAACTTCAGACTGCTGTCATTTCTAACCCACTCGTCCAACAGCTGTTAAAATTACAAGCGTACAAAATCATTGTGAGAATTTTTCAGAAAAAAAAATTAGTCTTGATGGAATTCAAGCGTGATAGCGTGATTTCTTTATATTTGATTGGAAAACCACGCATGACTATTTTAGAGCACTCCAGCATTGAAATGTGAATAAATTTTTTGTGTCTCGTACCATCGATCGTTACTGTGATACTAGTAGCGTAGCCCGACGTCAAGGAAGTGGACGGAAGAAGACAGCAACTTCAGCCCAAATGGTTCGAAAAGGAATGAAGCGACTTGGTCGAAGCCCGCGTCGCAGTGGCCGAAAAATGGCTCGTGAGCTGAACCTATCGCAATATTCCATTCGGCAAATATTGAAAAATGATCTCGGTGTAAAGCCATTGAAATTCTAAAAAGTGCAAGAACTTATACCGCAATAGAAAGAAAATAGACTCAAAAGAGCTAAAGAGTTGCTTCGCTTGGCCGAAATTGGTGAACTGCTGAATTTAGTTTTCTCCGACGAGAAAACATTCGTTGTCCAGCAGTTGGTAAACAAATAAAATGATCGTGTTTACTTGCCAAAATGGTAAGTAGAAATGTGCACCTTCGCTCTCCGCTCGTATTAATGGACGTGGCATCAGAATAAATACGGAATATTATCGCGAAAATATTCTGGAGGGTATATTAAAGACTTGGGCATGCAACATTTTGGCCGCAAACCTTGGACATTCCAACAGGACGTCACCGATGGTGTTACTCAGCAAGCGCCACCAAAGAATGGTTATAAAATGAGGTTCCTCGCTTCATTTCCAGCGCACAATGGCCACCAAAATTTCCGGATACCAATCCGTTGGACTGTTGTGTCTTAGAAAATTGGGCTAAAATCACGAATTCCGAAATGGTGTGGTATTGTTATATGTGGGCCTTTAAGAAAACATAGACCAATATAGACAAATTTCTATTAGAGTTGATGGTATTCATTGCCCAAAAAATATCATATTTCAGAATTCCGTTTGAAAATTAGGCTGAAATCATCAGAACATGAATATCAGGAGTTGCCGATAAATGGGCGCCATAAGAAAACGTGAACCTATATGCCCACATTTTGGCCATTGTGAAACTAAATATTAAAAAATTACGAGCTCATTTGTATTTTTATCAGATCGACACATATAGATGTAAAAAATTGTTCTGATTCAATATTTTGGTCAATGGCTTTATTTTCAAGTCGACAAATGAAAGATCGGACAAGCACAGGTGGTAATATCGATTCAGTACCTAATTATTGTTTCGAATGTTTGAGACTTTCCAGCCTATTGGTAAAGGTATTATGTATAACCTGTCTTACCCATAATGCTGATTGAGTCTTCATTGGTGTTGAAATATCCCACCAATTGTTTGTCCATACTTCTACCAAACCAACAACATTTCAACATCCAAACATAGATTCCTTAGATTCTTTGTCAACATACCATTTCGTACCCAGAGAATACTCTGAGCAGAAAACAAACAAAGAGAATAAAATTCAAAATAATTGAGAGATTATTTCTCTCATTGATACAAATACAAAGAATGTAAACAATTCAGATACAATCCACCACATGACCAAACAACGGATATGCAACAGCAGGTTTGCTGCCAAAGCAAACACGAACATGAACGAACCAAAGATATGTTCCACACACACTCAAAGAGGCAAACGAACGTAACGGAATCGAAATGAAACGAACAAACAATACACTTCGTAGAATGATGCTAGCATGCCGTCCGTATGCATTTATGTAGGTAGCAAGCGCAACCCACAACCCAAGAACACTTCGTGCTGGCGAGCAACATCGTGGCATGAGAGCATTACTGTCGTGCTGTTGTTGTTGTGTGTGTGTGTGAGAGTGAGTGTGTGTTTGCGCGACAGTGTATTTTGTGTGCGTACGTACTTGGTGTTGTTTACCGAACGCTGTGCAATCGTGGATGAATTTAGTTGTAATACGATTGCCGGGCGGTTTGGTTGACTTACAGAATACGGGAACGCAAAGCGTCGCGCGTTCGTCCATCCACCAAAATACCAAATAAAATTTGTTGGTTTATCAAAACAATATCAGCAGATGATGACGACGATGAACACGTAGTGGGAATAAAGAATTATTTTTCGGCCCGATACGGATTATTGAAATCAAGTGCAAGCAAAAATTGTGATTTTATGTGGGATTAAAAATACTACCTGGAGAAATGTAGTAAAAAATTTACAAAAATTTAACTGAAATAAAATTCCAAAATAAAATATTGGAATATAACTAAAGTGAAACTAAAATCTACAAAAAATATTGGATACAGTGCAAATCATTTTAAATTTGGATTAATGTGAATGAATACTCAAAGAAATGTGATTTGAAAAATTAGAAATGTAAAACAAAAATATTTAAAAATGAAATAAATTTGAAAAGTCAAAGCACAACTCTTCCCTGTCTAAAATTTTCAAAACAATTTGAAATTTAATTCTAATTATAAAAGAAAGGCAATCATTTCTTTTGCCCCGTTTATATCCATCAAAATGTCTTTAAATCTCTACAAAAGTCTATAGAAATTGACATTTAAATATCAAGTGAATGATCGGTAGCGGCAATCAGTGAGTGAGTGAGTGAAATATTGTCGAAAATAAAGAAAATTAGTGGGGATTGTCGAAAAAGAAAACAAGAAAAATAACAACAATAAAAATCTACAAGATCTCTCTGCCTCTAGAGAAGTTGAAAACTAAAACAAAAAACCATAAGACGCACGTCTGGCCCTAGCCATACCAAATTCAAATAAAAATGCATTTGGTTGGTGGATTTAAATTTAGAAATAATCTTTATGTCGCCGACAATTCAAAAGACGACGAGAACGACGGCATCATGACAATAACAAATAGAACAAGAACATATGGATTACAAAAACAACAACAACACCAACATTTAAAGAAAACAAATGCAGTAACAGCATCTTTGTCTTCAAACTCCTCAGTATCAGTTGCAGCAAAGAGGATGGCGACACCAACAGCATCAGCCAGAACAACAACAACGGCCAATAAACATTTGGGCTTAATGTCAATGCATTTGGCCGTTGTATTGTTGGTATTTTTATTAGCCGATAGTGGATTAAATGGATTACGCTTAGTTACAGCCCTTAAGGGTAAGTTACAACACACGCACATAAATATTTTACAATATAAATACCAGGCAGGAACATGAAAAGATGTGTAGGCTTATACAAGAGACTAGACAAAAATACAATATATATTTCATAAGAAAGCCAAAGTAGGGAGGGATCGATCACCTACCTACCTACCTCCTTTTACATTTGGAAATATGGTACACATGTTTGTCTAGCTTTTCTCGGTGTTTTTTCTAAACTACCTAATATATCATTTTTTTAGCTAGAATTTGTATCATATGTTTTCTTTGGGGTTTTCCACAAAGTTTTGGGGATTAAAAAAAAACATTATTTTTTTCTGGAGGCCGAAATAAAACGGAACTATATAAATCCATGAAATAAGTAAGCTATTAGGGAGTAGGAAAATAAGATATATTGAAACTAGACAATTTATTAATAGGGGTCATATATTTTAAAATTGTGCAGGAAATTGTATAGCCAGACAAGTTTTTAAACAGAGAATAGAGGAAACCGAATTTTGAATAATGGGGAAATTAAAATGGTATATGCAACTTATGTCTGCTTTTGAAGCAGAAGATATTTGTCACAATTTTAAGAAGTTTTTGGTAGAACTCGGTTGTAAACTAATAAAATAGATCAAAACATATTTGATCTATAAAGGAGAATATATTCGCATTCCCAATATATTCAAATATGAAAATATTTCCCCATCCATGGAACAAAAATGTATGGTTAAGATATATGTATATCTCCTATTTGGAACATAAAAGATTCAGTATTGAATTTATATGAATTCATTCGTTTAATGCCACAGATCACTATTTAGACATTTTGTATTCGACTCTAAAAATTATGACAAATAAGTGTCACTTAACGCAAGGAACGCATACTTATTCTTTAAAAATTATACGACTGGTAACTGGAAAAACCTTACAAGAAGATTCCAGTCTTCAACGGCTCCTTTAGCAAGATTGAGAACAAAATTATTGACAATAAATAGGTTTTGTAATTTTTTTGTAACATTTATCTTGAAACAAAAAATTAGTTTCGGATAATTGAAAAAAAAAAACGCAAGAAAATACCAGCCTTCATAGACTCCTGGCGATTAGCCAAAATTATGTACTGGAAGTATATATTTTTTGTAGTTCAAAAATTTAACTGTAAACCCCAATTCTCAGTTAAGAAGGGTCATGAAATATGACAAGCCTACGAAAAAAAATTATTTCATTAAAAAAAGATATCTAGGAATAAAATGCATTCCCCGTGAGATTAAATTCCGTATTCAAACATTACAAATTTCGAAGATTAACTACATGTTTTTAAATAAAAATGAGATACTCATGCCACTGAAAATTTCTTGAATGTCTCATTTTTATTAAATTCCAGAATTTCAAATTTTACAAAAAATAATCAAAAAATGAATACTAAAATTATGTGTTATTTTGTGAGTGATTTCGTGAATGAAAATAGTGATAAAATTATATGAAAAGTGTATCAGAAAATCGAGTTTTTTATATGTGCGAGCCATATTAGATTTACTTAAAATTAGTGCCGATTTTAAAATGATACATTATATTTTTGTGCAGGAGTTAATAGTAAAATTTGAAATGGAATATTTGTTCTCTAAATATCCCTGTACAATGAAGTGTTAAGGAAGATTGGGATACCATTTTGACACCATACCAAATAGAATAAATGAGACTCTCCCTAATAATTTTCCTAAATTTGCTAATGTGTGCGAATTTGTATTTTCAGTGACAAAATGTGAAATTTGAACCCAATATTTTATAAATATACTTACGACTTCTGAGACTATTTGTGAAATTTGATACATTTATCTAACAATATATCTTTAAATAAGCTTCGGAGGTGTTAATCTAACAGATTCACCAAAAGTGACATGTTAATCCAAAAATGTCTTTTTCTGGACTTTTACCCAATTTTTTTCTATGAAATATTCTATTCAATATTTTATTAATATATGTGCGTTCTCTGTGACTTTAGCAGAAATTGTCGTAGAATATCTCATTTCTCTCGTTTCTCATCAAATAATTTCTCTCTAAAATGAAATTCCAAGGGACTATTCACCACTTATTCCAAAAAAGTTCAATGTTAACCCTAAAATATATTTTGGAATATACATCTTTTTGATGTTTTACGTTAAGTTTCGAACTTAGAATATTCTGAGACTTGGGCCTCGATTATCTTTCTATTACAATGCGAAATGAAAAATTTTATAGAGGAAAAAAATGTCAAATAAAAGAAATTATAAAGAACATATTTACGTTTCATTTTTTCATAGAACATGAATTCAGCCCCTGAAGTCTTAAGTTAGGTTTCGAATTTTGAAATATTCTGTGCTTTCGGAAAAGTTGTATGCAGGAATTTTACACTTTTCGGGTAGACATTTTATAAAAAGCATATATTGTACCAAAGGTTTGAACAATTGAAAAAAAATATTCCACATTTTCTCCCAATGTCTCGGAATGGAATATTATTCCCTTTTTAAGTTTGAGTGCTATGTAGTATACAAGTTTCTTTTGTTCAGAGACTCACAATGAAATTTGATCTAGAATATATTTTTCTTCGACAATTTCCCCAAAAAAATGATGTATTAAGGGATATTTTGACTTTCAATGAAAACGTGTTAAATTTGCACTAAAAAAACTAAAATACATAATTTTAAGTTGTGACAAACGAGTGTCGAATGTCAGATTTCTTGAAAACTGTAAAATCCGGATATATAGTTTACTCTGAGATTTATAGTGGAATTTCGTCAAGAATATTCTTTCTTTTGACACATTCTGTCTAAAACCAAATTTTATGTTACATTCAAGTCTCAACTCCAAAAAAGGCCGAGGAATAGTGGATCTCCTTTATTTAAGTGACTTTGCGATGTAAACTTTCATAACGTCGATACATTTGTTTTTCTTCGTATATAGGGTGTTATAGCGTTAAAATTAGCATTTATTCCAAATGTTTCCAAGGTTTTAGGAACATCTATAAAATATGGGAAACCTTATTTAGATATACCCTGATTAAAAATCACAAAAAAAAAAAATAGTTCTTAGTAATAACAAAATTTACACATTTAAATCATAAATATTAAATCGAAATATCGCTTGAAAGTTTAAAAATTTTGTAAAACTTTTATAATTAGGAACGAAAAATAGTTCGCTGTATTTTTGATTTATTTCAAAATTATATTTTTTTTTTAATTTTTTTTATTAGCAATTTCCCCTTTTTCTTCCATTTTTAAAATCTCCTAAAATAATTTTTTCTCTTTCTTCTTCAAAAGATCTCAAAATATTTCCCTTTAGTTTTTCCATCTTTTCAATAGAAAGAAATAATAAATCCTTTTGTTTTTCCCTGTAATTCATTGAGGTTCAAGGCTACTTAGGACCATACTTTACAATGGCATTGTAATATGATCTTCACCCAAGAAAAACGCCATAGGAAGCCTAGTTAAAGTGAAGAAAAATGGAAAAGGTTCCAAAAACAAAAATGGAAGGACTTGTTGGAAAGAGATCAGCACACACACACGCACATCCCGACTTATGTATATGTACATACAAATAATGCCAAGTGTTTAGTAAACTGCGGGATATGCCATGCAGATGTTTTTCAATTCCTTTCTTAAATAGTTGGAAGCCAAAACTACCTGCTTTTTGTAGAAAAGAAAAACCCGGGAAATGTTGTTGCTTACTTTTGTTATAGATTTTAAAAAGAAAAGAAGGATATGAACATATGGTGGTATATAAATATGAATTATTGTGAGAGGTAGGTGGTAGTGGAAGGGAGGATCACAAATATGAGAGATTAAATAAGGCCATATTTTTTCTAAGAAAAAAAAAATATGAAATTACTAAAATAATATGAAAAACTAGATATTTGCCTAAAAGTAATGTTTGAATTGTAGTTTCAATTGAAGGGCAGGGAGATTTCTTTACTTTCTGCTTGGGCTATGTTAAGAAATGTCTAAGAATTTCGAATAATTTAATGCATTTTGGAGGAATACATTTCAATATCTGGCCTGGCCTTTGGATTTCATTATTCTCTGTTATTATATAAATAAAGCGATATCTCCACATTTTTATTAGGGATGTTCATAAAAAAGGCATATATTTGTAATTGCTCTGAAATTATTCCAATTTCTTTCATTTCCATGTACTGTAAAATCAGCAGAATTTCTAAACTCGCTACAAAATACTAATTATCTCAGTTTCAGAATTTCCATAATTTTCGCCTTTTTTCTTATTTACTGTCTGTCTGATTACCCCGATGACGCCAGCTCTTCATTGACACCATTGTCTCGGCACCCAAAGTTGCACCTTCCTTGAAACTAGCATTCACATTTGTATCTACAAACTAACTCTCATATCTCTGGCATATTATCTATTGACCTTATTTTTTTAGTCAAGCAAACTTTTAATACAATGTATGTAGGTATGTAGATATGTATGCATCAGCCATATATGTATGCATGCATTCATATATTTTGTGCAGCAGCAAACATAAAGTGGAAAACTATTTGGATGAAAGCATAACTCTAAGCTATCTAGTTAAAAATACATTTCAGTTTTTTTTTTTCAGTTCTCCCACTTTGTTTTTTTTTGCTAACCAAGTTAGGAGGCATATTTTGTTCTTGTTAGCAATGCATGAAAAGAACAATCTCCATGCCAGTAGACAATACAGGCATTAAAATGGCCCATATACTATTTCTCAAGTACCATTTTTTTTTGTATGTCTTAGCTAAGAAATTACAGCACCAGAAGCAAAAACCGGGCATAAAGTATTATTAAAGAGATTTAAAGGAAGCGGGAACCAAATTCCTCCAACACTTGCCATACATAGTTGTTTGGGCATTTTTGTTTCTTTGTATCTCGCCAGATAGCAGCAGAACGCTTAAAGTCTAACGCGCTCTCTTGCAGCAGAAAAAATAGTATTGCATTGCAAGGAATGGGTTGTTATTTTAAGTTTTGTTTCATTTTCTTGTCTTAAATTTCTTTTGTTTGTTT